TATGCTCTTCCTTCATACAATGAACCAGTTTCAATTAAGGAGACTAATGCTAAGCCACTTCTCATTGTCTGGAGGGAAGAGGAGAGTGAAGAGATCCTACCAGTCCCTACAGGATTGTTCCCTTTAACAATTGTACACCTACTCAACCAGAAAGAATGCGTTACTAAAATCGGTCCGTCGACACCAGCTTTTTTCAAATTTCGAGATGCCATGTCCCTCAAGATAACAATCACATCAAAGCACACACTTCACCTCATCAACCGTTACACTCATATTGAAGTGTACTTTACTGGTCCTACCCAGCACTGTCCATTAGTACGTAAGCTACTCACAACAGCTATTGATAATAGCAGTGATGCCATGCACCTCAAGCATAATTACATCAATGCATTTGCTTGCCCTTACAATGAGAGCTGCTATTGCATTGTAAATGAAGATCACCATAAAGTAGCTGATTGTACAGTTTGTGGTGAATCTCCTGCTCTTAGCAATGACTACTGGACCTGGTTTAATGATGCACAAGGTATGTGTATACTAATAATTATTATTTATAATTTATCACTTGTGTATAGGACCTGATGAGAGTAACAATGGAACACAAATAAAACAAGATATTGATCAGCCATCAGATGAAAGTAAAGAATTATTGTTATTATTATTAATATCATCTTTATTATTATTGTTGTTGTTTTATTATTTTTTAAAATCATTTAGGACCTATTGAGTGTAACAATGAAAGACAAATAGAACAAGTTAATGATCAGCCATCAGATGAAAGTAAGGAAATATTGTTATTATTGTTATTTTTTATCATAACGTACATGTATGTGTATGCTAATAATTACTATTTATAATTTATCACTTGTGTATAGGACATGATGAGAGTAAAAATGGAACACAAATAAAGCAAGTTAATGATCAGCCATCAGATGAAAGTAAGGAACTATTAAAATTTATATGCATGTTATTTTCTTTTTTATACAGACCTGTCACTCCTGTTAGACAAGAAGCCTCAATTGAATGACCTCCTTCAGCTTTTTAAAAGTTATGCTGCTCAATATAAAGTTATTGGTGTTGCATTATCAGTTCCAGTTGATGACCTGTTGCCTATTCCAGGGGCTGCTACTCATAACCTCATTTGTGTCTTTGAGAGATGGATAGCATCTAATGAAGAAGTGTCCTGGAGTAAAGTACTTCAAGTTTGTGATGAGTATCCAGACCAACTTGGAAGAGCAAAAGCTGAAGTGGAAGAATTCCTATCATCAGACAGAGCCAGGGGTGGATCTAGGTGGGGTGGGCCAGGGTCAAAGTGTTGTCACTGTTGTGCAGTTATTTGAAATTAACTTTTTCATGTGGATGATTATGTAAACTGTGAAGCATGACTATGCAAGCAATTTGTAAACCACAGGGGAGCTCATTTTAATTGTAGCCTTAGATTTCAAAATTTTGACTTTCAATGCAAGCTTTGTTGACTACTTCCACTAATTACCACACCTACATCATAATGCCACTTATGCTAACACTTTGCATTGTGCATTTCATTTGCCTGTCAGTGTGTGCTTATAATTATGATAAGTTATTCTTTTTGTATCTTCTTAATTTTACAATACATATT